TAAAAGCGGAAAATTATTATTTTCTGTTACCATTTACTGTTTATGCTGAACATCAGAGTAATATTAGGAATAACAAACTTGACTGCTCATAATTCTGGTTATACAGTATATTGAGGGCATTAAAACCCACAATAAATCCTACTGGTTGCAGTACTCATCTCTTGTGTATTATATACTCTCAGTGTGTACATACATAAACAGGCTTTCATAACAATTATTTCCTGTTAGTTTTATGTGTGATCCAAGATTATAGAATGCTTGCCAGAACTGGTAACTGTTATAGCAGGTTTCTTCTGGACAATATTCAAGGAGGAAGTTTAGGAATGAGAAAGCATTGCAAGGTTGCGTAATGCTCAGGACATTATTTCAGTAATAGGTTTCAGTGTGTTGGGTACAGTTCTGATTCACTTCCTTATCACACATTGTTATCAAGGCTCCTCAATGATGTTTGTTTGTTGTTTAGGAACTGATTCTGCAGTTACAGTAGTCCAGTACACAATTATATTATTTCTGAAATAACATCATGCAAAAGAGGCACATAGGTTATAAAAAATAATACAAAATGCAAAATAACTAAATGATATGTCAATTATATGACATTAGATACTGTATGGTAGCATAGGAAACAGCATCTAAATGTTATTGTTTCACGAAAGAGGAGACTTTATATAGCATGTTATATATAATAGCTTAGAAAATCATTTGATGATGAGCATTCTTGATAGAGCAACTTTGGAAAAACTACTTGGATGCCCAATAGGACTTTAGCCCTGACTTAATTGACTAATCACTTGCTACTTTAGGTTTACCTAATGGTTAGATTTTTTCCAAGTCTTTGGTAAATGTGTTAAATTAAGGTTGAACGAAAATCTGCAGAATTGTGGCACAGAGCATCCTGGTCTTGTGTTCCATTAATTTCATATGTTCATTAGTCTTCACTTTTTTTTCTTTAGGGACTTCTGCTCTGAAGTAAAACATTACAAAGCTATTTATAGATTTTGAGTCACCAGCCTCTAATGGGAGTCATACAGTAAGACTACAGTCTCCAAGTATCCTTGGAGATGGTTTGTTACCATAACAGATTTATGGCACCCTTCCCTTTACTTAAAACGTACTGAGGCTTGTTAAGCCTAAGGAAGATATTGGGAGAGATGTTATGTACTGTTTTAGACAGTGGTAAATGAAGAGATGATTAAGATATGTTCCTTGATGAGCTGTGTCATCATGTAAATCCCAGATAGATATATAGTCAGATTGTATTTCATCAGTTTCTTTTCAGTTGGCTGTATTGTCTGTCAGCATAATATCATAAAGCAATACATTTGGAATCTAGTTAATGAGGATAGGATTCTTGACATTCATTAACATTATTTTTTTAATTAGTATGAAATAAAGCAGAACAAATAAAAGAGTGAAAATGTCTAAATCAGAGAAAAGCATTTAGTGCTGCCTGGGTTTTAAAAGCTGTCAGAACAGTTATTATATAATTACAGTTATTTATTGAAAATGTTGTATATAGGTATGTAATTTACAGAACACATACAGTACTATAGTCATACAGTAGACGAATACTTTATACTGCAATAAAATTTATCATCAGGTCTCTTGATCAACAAGTAGTAAAAGTAAATCTAAGAACACAGGCACAGGAGACTAATTCAGGTGATCAGAAGAATGGCATGCAGGTTAAACAGATTTGGGGTCTATCAGGCATGTTCTAATTACAAACAAAGTGGCAAACTCAGAAGTTCAATTAAACCACTGAACAGATTTGGGAGATTTTAATAATTAAACAGAACTAGTTCAAAGTAAAAATAAAGAAGTGTTAGTCAAACAACAATCACTTACAAAATGGAACCCCTAACTATCCCTAGGAAAGTCTAAATTTAAATATTGAAAGTCATCATCATCCAAACAGCTCACTGGAATTTATTTTTCCAATAGATGAGATTTTGCTGTAGTGTATTTTTTCTTTGAATTGATTTATAACTCTTTTAAGCTGTTTCACACTTGTTTACTAATCCTGTAATGAGCCACAGTTCACCAGTTGGTGATTGTCTGAGATGCTATCAGGTATACTGTACCTCTGATACTCACTGTACTGACCAGTTATTGGTGGGTCTTCATTTGGACCATTGATATTGACCTTTGTCCTGTGGTCTTTGGAAAAAACTAGCCAGGAGACTTGCTGGAGCCCATCTGTGCCATTCAGTATATCATTACATTGTTCAGATTGATACAGCTTAACGATGTCTCCTATCAGAAGGGCTTCTTTAGCTACATTCCTATTCCATCCACAGACAGCACCAGGCTGAGTTTTAAAACTTTGTACCACATAATAATAGTTATACTGTACATACAGTACATGTTTCCTGTACTAAAGAAGTACCTTCTTTTTATTCTTTCAGTATTACTGTTTAGATACAGACATCTTAGCGTTGGATGGCTCTCTATAGAATTAATACCCACCTATATCAGAGCTTGTGAGAATCACCAAGGGGTGGGGTCATCTCATTTAGGTGAGCCTCATCCTTCAAATTCTCAGGAGGAAATCACTGAATTGGCTGCACCTGGAATCTCTAGCTTCCTATAAAAGCAGTTCCTCAGGGAGGCACAGGTTGTATTTTACAGTACATGGATTCTCATGGTTAAAAAGAACAATGAGTATTTAAAAGAAGATTAAATGGTTAGAGTGGTTGTTATATATGGGAAAACCTCAAAAGGATTATAAGTGGGTAATATTGATAGCAATCACAGTTTTTGTGCTGTCTTGTCACTGCTAATAGGGGAATTATATAGTTATGGTTCATTTGGGAAAACCCCTTGCTACGCTATCAGGAAGGGAGTTGTTTCGTACCATCCTATGGACCTTTCATTGGGGACTATCCCTTTTAGGTAATGGATAGTGACCTGGGACCTATGGTCTTTGACAGAAACAGGCTACCTACTTGGAGTCCATTTTGCTACTGTATATATTACTACTGTATACTGTTGAGCTTTGATGCAGTTCTGTGATGTCTCTTAGCAGAGGGGCCCATTACCACATTCCTGTAGACTTACAGAGTGAGGCACACAAGGATTATTAGAAAAACACTTTAAAAAAAACATTTAATTCTAATTGAAACAGTCTGCCTCAGTTTTACACCTACAATGCAGTTCAAGTGCAATACCCTGTTTATTGATAATCTCTTATTTTGCCTATGCATACAACCAGAATTATTAAACATACTCCTTTCATTTGTTTGATTACTTTTTTGTTCTGCTTATTTTGGTGTGTGCCTCTACCCATTATTTTAATTGAATGCTATTCAGTTGTGGAAATTAGTGATCCCATTTCCAGAAATGACACACATCCTGTACTGATGTTCCATGGCTTTGCCCTCGTCTCTGAAGACATGTGAAGTGCAATAATAAGGCTTATTAGTGAAGATGGTAACATAGATTAGTTATGAGGTCAAAATGTGGCCGGTAATGGAAAGAGTGAGGCAGCCTAAGTGCTTGTAGATCAAGCAGTGGCACATGTTCCATTTCAATTCAGTGTTGTTTATAAAACATTCATGGCTTTTCAGACTGCAGTTGTTCCTGAGATTATGTAGGTTATTTCTTTTCTGTGTAGGTTATACATTTAAATTTTGTATATGTATATTAAGTATGTAGATGTACCTTTTAAAAAGTGACATACCTTTAGGTTCAAAGAGAGCACTAAGTTCCAGTCTTTAGTATTGTTATATTGTAAGTGCATTCTCAGAGCACCTTTTCAGTCATCCATTTTCACTTTTTTGATATGCTGAACTAATTTTCCTCTTCATCTAATTAATGTATTATAAAATATAAATGTAACTACCTTATGTACAGTAATTATTTTTTCTGTGTGTTATTTTTGCAGATGGGATGCCAAAGAAGAACACCTCCAGGTCAGTGTGATGTGATAAACAGGACAAAGTTTACAATGTCGGAATTTTTTTGCCGATTTCTATGCTTTTCAAGACTTTTATAACAATATTAATTTTTCCGTTTTACATGAAAAAACATGTTAGCGTCAGAAAGCAAGTGCTTGTTTTGATGCTAAGTATCTGTACACTCATCATTTCAACAGCTTTTATTTTAGGTTTTTGGATCCATTATTTACTGTACTTGAAAAAGCATTAAGAACAAATTAAATGTCTACGTGTATGGTTGTGTTGACATTCCCTGGTCAGGTCAATCTCCAGATCCTTTTGTACACTGGTGGAATCAGTGGAATGTGCAGTTCAAACTCATACACCAGGGGTCAGCAACCTTTTAAAAGGGGCATGTCAAGTGTTAGCTCATGCACTTCTAAAAAATTAATATGCATGCCTTGCCATTTCATGTGATCCTTGTGTGGTCTAGTCAGAGAAGAAAACATCAGGCCAAAACATTGGAAATTCTGAGGTTTTCTGACAGAAAATTTTGATGTCATTTGTCGCATGTACTGTATACTTCAAACTAAGCTACTTGGGTTGTTCAATATTTTGAAAGTTCTTTAAGTAGTTGGAAATAGCGCAAAGTTGAGGTGTGAAAGTCCTGGGAAAAAAATGGCAAGTTCTGCAAGTCTGCTGTCCAAGTTCATCTTTATGCATGGTGATGTCCACTAAAAACATTCATTTTGTAACCCATTTTTTTACCATGCATTTAGGGGTAGTTTGACCTTTTTCTGACAAAAAGATCTTGATTGCATCATAAAGTCCATAAAGCATGCCAAAACAATCCCACACAATTTTGTAACTTGCTTCTGTGGCTTAATTTTGACTTATACAGAAATTACTGCTTTGTTTTCCTTTCCTTGCTATGGCCCTATAGCTGGTAGACTCAGCGTTGTCTGCCTTATTATTGAAGGTTTTGCTGTGTTTTGTCATTAGACACTCGATGTGCGACAAACAACGCTAACACAACATACTGTATAGAACAAACAGAATGGTCCTTATGTTGAAAAAATCCATATTTATCTCTCCAAACATCTAACTTTGCTTTTTTAGCAACTGCCATTTTATCTAACATGGTAATAGCGCATGGAAATGTACATCTAAGTGTGAAAAATGTTATCAATACCATGGACTGCGAGCTTTCCTGTGAAAATAATAGGGTAGCCCCACTAAAAATAATGCAGTAAATAAACAAAGAAATTCATTTTTTTCTACGCCAAAGAGTTTTCATTAGGTAGAATGTTATAGAAAATTACAGAACAATCGAGCATTGTATTTTAATTTTTTAACTTAAATTCTTCGTGGCTTATTTAACTTTCATTGCACATTCCTGTTTCTCTGCCATTAAAAATCTCTTTGCATGCCAATACTCGCAGACGTGCCATAGGTTGCAGTCCCCTGCCATACACCATTACATTCTTCAGAATGTCGGCTTAAGTCTATCTTGCTTGAAAAATGAGTGGACAATCCATGTGGAATACATACTGTACCACATCCTGTTCCAGCTCACAGTAGCCAAACATGTTTTTCAGTGATGTCCTTATTTAGGTACATACTGTAACTATAAAATGTTTCCTGTTTTCATCTGTTAAAACGTAATGTACCATTATATGCAATTACCTAACCTTCATATATGTGTGCTGTATGTGTGTATTTCTCAGAGCATTGAAAAGAGTTCTGAAGATGTATGTGAGGATCAGGAGGCTTTGGGTAATCCTGAAGTAGATGAGCCTACACTCAACACAAATGGCAAAGACTGGGATGTTAAAAATGAGCAATTCCAGGATTCAGACACAGCTACCATGCATGATATAGCCAATGTCCAAGGTATTGAAGAAAGTAAGAGATGTGCAGTAGAGAATTCTGAGACTGTTTGTTGTCAAGGTCAACAAGAAATGAATGTTGGTGTAGCTGGAGCTGCTCATGGTGACAAAGTACTAGTTGAAGATGTCAAATCAAACAGACTGGTGGACGCTGAAGCATTACCTCAGCGAGTAAAGGAAAACAATAAATCAGCCCAAGTCCTCAAGGAAATCAATGGTCCACCCCATAAAACGGATAGCACTTCTCCTCCAGAGACAGCCCTGTTGCAAACACTTAAAGATGTTTCCTACAACAGAGATGTGCACTCAGTGGCCGAAGGGCATCAGACTTCACCGACTTTGACATACAATAATATCTCAGAAAAGACAGACAGTCAGCAACAAAGCTCGGTGGTTTCTAAGGACTTCCAAAAAGCTGCCACTGTTCATTGTGTGAACCAAGCAGATAATTTACCGAGCAACAGAAGGTTGACTGATGAGATAAAAAAAGAGAATGTATTTTCTGAAGATTCAGTTACTGACCTGGCAAAAACGAAGAGCACCTCTGAAACAGAATGTCTTACCTCCGACTCAGGAATGAATTATGGAAATGTGAGTCGCTTGACTGTAGAAGACAAGGCAGATAAACTTTCAGATCATTTTAAGAACAATAACACAAGAAGCCCAGGTATTTTGTTTTATTCTTCTCTTAACATAAAATAGGTAGCACATTTGCCAAATGATAAAAAACTGAAGATAAGACAATTATAACTTTTCATGTGATCTAAGAGAGAGAATGCACCAATAAATTAGGAATACATATAATTGTGCTTAAAATAGTTATTTATAGATGTTAATGTGCATGTTTTGTGGTCTACTGGTAAAGCTGTCATAACATAATGATCTCTGCTCTGCAGGTGTGCAACATGTGTAGCAGAATATGAGATGTCTGTGATGTTGTAGAGTATTTAAAGGAAAAGAAACAGAAAAGTATTGCTGGAAATGTACAGAGACTTCAAATTTTAAAAGGAATAGCAAAGTGTCCATCTGATTTATTTTTTTCTGATAATGATAAACCTGTACATTTTGCTGCAGCACTCTAATCAATGGTAGTTATCGTGTCTGACAGCTCTCTCCAAATGACTGAATGGCATTCTGTGTTTGTTCTTGCTGTTGAAGTCTTTCTTCTCTGTTGGCTGCTGTAGAAAGTGAAGGATGTTGTATGGGACAGTCACTGACAGAAACGTTAGAATCTTCTCTGCCTTTGTGTATATTACCTGACATGCAGATTATACAGTAGCTGTTCTAGATCAGTCATGTTGTTTTTCCCTTTCACAGAGGAGATTATTGATTCTAGTCTCTCTGTGATGAGTCCTGACTCTGGAGCTTCTGTTTCAGCTTACAAGGCCACAACTGTCAAGGTAGTATTCAACACTGGCTTAAAGAAGCCGAGAAAGAAATACCTACAGTATATCTACATTGCTTTTAAAATTGTTCCTCATATTCTTAGGAATAGTAACTGATTTGTATTGTAGGAAAGACTTGGTTAATAATTCATTAATATTTGCAAAATACAGATGAAAAAGGGAAATAATGTTTAATATTATTAGTATTAATATATTAGTATTGTTACTACTAGTATTGTACAGTTAAATAAAGGTGTGTATTTGGAAGAGTACTGTATATACAGTATACATTGAAAGAAAAATTCCAGTAAGCAATGATTGTTCTATTCAGCTATTTAGAAGGCATATTATGAAGTAGTCACAGAAGCACTTTAAAAGACTGCTCATACCCTTGACTCATATAATTGTAGGTTTTTTTTAATCCCACTGTGGATGATCCCGTGACATCTGGCTACATTATAGAAAGTGAGAACAGGCCTTTAGCCATAAGGATGTGCACCTTCAAGGTACACTTTCACTGCTATCTAAGGAGAAGAAGTGATGAAACATCTTTGAACAGGGCTTTATCCATATAGAAAATGGCTTCATGTTATCAGTCTTGAGCAGAATTACATTACTTCCTTTAAACTGTTTTTGTCCTGTTCTTTTCAGGCCAATGAAAATGGGAAAAGTGTTTAGAACAAAAAGAAGGTTTTTACCAGTGAAAAGTTGGTAAAATGAAGAAAACAAGAAACCAAAAAAGGCAAAAAACATTCATTAATGGTTTACAAATCTTTTTATACTATGTATGCTTTTAGATTCAAATTTTTGGTTTTTGGCTTTTTGGATGGCTGAAGACACTTAGATGTGGCAGCACTTTATTTTATATCAACTGATATTGTTTGAATAAATTATTATTTAAAGATTGTTTAGTGCATTCAACAAATGATTTAACAGTTGCTGCTTGATTTGTGTGTATAGTTAAAAAAAAACATTGGAAGAATTAAATGTTAGTAGAAAAATCTAAACTCAGCTAGAGGCTTCATATTTTTGTCATATTTTTAGAAGTGACAGATGTCATGGTTAAGCCTACGTCCTGACTTATGGTCATTAAATATGTCATGGCACTATTTGTAATAGCATGGGTGTTAACCTGATTTGAACCTTGGGTTTGCACAATCTCATCTTCCTAAAGTTCCAGTTTAATGCTCAACATGCGTAACACTTTTTTACTTACTGGTCTGCTGTGTTAAAGGAGCTGCTGATGTTTAATGGGTGCTGCACATCACCCAGGCGGGAACTGCAGTTCAGTAGCAGATAAAGTGGATCTCCACCTACTGTATAGGTTAACCTCTTTGGGAAATATCAGAATAAAAAAGTGATGCATAAATGAAATGTAATTATTATGACAAAAGAGTGAACATTATTTCAGAGTTTTGTCCCCCAAACTTGCTGTGGAATGCAAAACAGAGTGAATCTCATTGTATCATTCAAATCACTGTTTTAAATTTTTTTTGTTTTTTAAACAATAAACGTTGTGCACTCCCATTATCCTTCAGTTGCACCAAAATTGGGAAAACATTTTCTTATACATATCTGTAACTTTTTCACAGCCCTTCCACTTAAGATGTAAAACATTAAATATGTTACATGAAACATTTAATTTTTTATGATGTCTGATGAACATTGCTGATTTGGTCAAAATGACTAAGTAACCTTTCTTGAAGTTTGAAGTTCATGAAATTGAAGTTCAGTAGTGAATAAAGTGGGTCTCCTCCCACATTTAAACTACTTTGGGATCCATCAGGATAAAAACTGATGTACAATGAAAGAATTGTGGTGAGCAATTGTTGTAGCCATCACCACAACACAGGTAGCATGTTGTGGTGATATTACAGGTACAGAAGTGAACTTTATAGCAATCCTTGTCTAAAACAGTAATTATGTACTGTATATTTTGTTAAAATGATGCATATGTGATGATGATGATGGTGATGATGATTATTCGGTACGTGTTGATTAAGGTGAATGTGAAAAGACGTCTGCTGTTCAAAATGGAAGAACAATTTGATTTCCTTTTAGAAAGGTATGGTACCATATATTACAGATGTGCTTAAACCCATTTTATCTCAAACAAAACAATTTATTAGAAGAGCCTCAAACCTGTCAAGAGTTCTCCACTTTACCAAGACTGAATAGTTATGGATGTGTCAAATTATAAATCAGGATCTTTACTGTTGTATTTTGTGCACAAATTGAGAAGCATTGAAACTGTCATTTTTTGGCAGTTGTTTGTATTATTACTGTATATGGCCAAAACTGAATCTAAAAGAACTAGACATTGTTTTGTGTTATTCTTTTGATAAACAGTATGAAGGTCAAATCACTTCCTACAGATGCTTGATTTTAAAATTGTTAGAAGAAAGTTAACATAGTCAGTTTTGAGTACATCTGTTATATCTGATTGCACTGCTTTGTTTTTGTTTGTATTTAATACATTTAACTGTTCTTAGTTGTTTATTGTAAATATGTTTAGTTGAATCTGGTAATATTTTAAAAAATGCACTGGTTTTATTTAAAGGATTTTCTTCCGGTTAACATATGTATTTACATTTCCAGATTGAATTGCATATTTGTATCAAGTGGTAAGAAAAAGAATACAAGCACTTGTTTTCTTAAACATTT